CTACTGCTTGTTTGGATGAGTAACAGCTGGTCACTTCATAACCATATACTTCATGACCCTTCATATGCTTGAAGATCGTTATTAAGTTACCCTTCAGCCTTCTATGATGTGACAGACCCTATAAAAGAACCATCAGGCAGAGAAATCATTAGAAGCACCACCAGGCACCATCATTAAAGTCACCATCTGGTATAACTGGAAATGTCAGCGAATAGAGACTGCATATTGATGGCCATGCTATGTTTATGCCTTTTAACTGGTCAGCAATGTTAATTATAATTACATCTTCATTGTAGGATTTTATAGCCTATGTGGACAAATGAACATACACTCGATTAACTAACTGCAGACTAAATGGAAAATGGTTCTCAGGCTAATGTTCCAAACACTATTAGTACTTTCTTTGTTAACTAATATTTCCAAACTCGAGTGCTGAGAAAACTGACAACCTGGCTCTGTTTCCAGGGACTGAACCTCTTCTCTAACAAAAACTAAATGACTTCAATATTTACATGTTAAAAACAAGGAAATGGCTTTTGTTTTCAGAGTTCTACCAGGTCTGTTTTAGTGTGAACTGTCTTGGATTGTTACAAAGTAGTGATGTATTAATACTTCACATTGATATCTGTTAGTTTATTAAAAATTGTTATCAATTAAAACATTCATTTTTAATAAATGTCATAAGCAAATAGCAAAAACTTTGAAAGGTGACTTTTGTGCTTCATATTCTTTATTATTGCTACATACATATGTATAGATAGATGATAGATAATCAATGATAGAGATATAAATGTAGAAATATAGCCTACTGAGCTAATTTAGCTCCTATGTGTCTTTAGTACTCAATGGAAAGGTAATCTTTCTTTTTTAAACTAATCTTCTCTTGAGCTTGGGGTTTCATATATGCTAGAAGTTATTATGAGTCATATATGTTTCTTGTTTCTATATCAACAAAGAACTAAAAACTTTTTGAAAAAAAATTGTCTGAACACAATGTTCAGTCATTTTTGTGGGGCCTTACACTATAAGTACTCTGTAACAACTATTTACATACTACATACACTGTATTGAATAGTCTAAATAACCTAGAGGTCATTTAAATTATGCAGGGGAACTGGATAACTTATAGTCAAGTACATTGCTACTTAATATGAGGTGTTGAGAACCCTTGGAACCACAGTTGCCAGGGACAAACCCTGTGTCAAAAGCAAAACACAACAAGGCAGAAACAACAACAACAAAAAATAAATATACTAACAAACAAACCTACACCATATAGAAAGTATGTTGTAATAATCTGAAGGAGATATCCCCTATAATCTCAGACATCTGAATAGCTGGTGCCTAGTTGGAGGTGCTGTTTGGGGAGGCTGAAGAGGTGTGGATTTGTTGAAGAAAGTAAGGCACTGGTAGTGGGCTTTGAGAGTTTAAAGGTTCATGTCATTTTCAGTTTGCTCTGTCTGCTTCCTGCTTCTGGTTGGAGATGTGAACTCTTAACTGGTTCTGTAGCTTTGACCACTGCCTCTTGCCATGGCTGCCTGCCATCATGGACTCATATCCCTCTAGAATTATAAGGCAAGTAATCCTTTCTTTTTATAAGTTGCCTTGGTCATGATGTTTTATCACAGCAACAGAAAGTAACCTATACATGTGTGTTACTAGAAATTTGGTCCTAGAAATGGTAAAGAAACAGCACATCTCAATTCAGATATTTAGGTAATGCTACATACTTTATTATTACTTAGTAAATTACGGTTTACAGCTCTTAAAGCTCTGTGGAGTAATGAAACTCCATAAGTTTGAAGTCCAACTATCACAGTGTTGATTTACTATCTATAATTTTGAGCCTTTTTAAATTAAAATATTTATTTGACAACAGGAATTATGCTTAAAAATTCCTCGGGTGAGGGTTACCCACAGTTCACTATGCTTGTTTACAGTCACCACATGAAACTCCTACATTTCTTTCTATAACTCTTCTGCCTACTTCATTTTGATTATTCAGAAGCCTAGATAGATTTTCATAGACATTCACATTTTAATTAATTATGTATGGATAAAAAGTCTTTCTTTAAGTAGAGTAAAACACTGAATTATGATAATTAGTGCATAAACAGTTTATAGTGTAGACTTCTGTTAACATGTTACAGTTTTATTTATAAAGACTGGGTATCAATTTTCAGTTAGTGCACAAATCTTTTAAACTTGAAGAGCAATAAATGATAATATTCTGAAACATATGCCAGAGAATGGGAAATACAAGTATTTCTGATTTCATCTTTCAAATGTACAGAGTGACCAAGCCCATTTTGAATACCTGTGTCTTACTGAAGAGCAAGCAATGAACAGAAATAACTTGAGAATGTAAGTATAACTACATCAGGGTTGTGTGTTTGATAACACGTACATGTGGACATATTTAGAAGAGAGTCTACTTTGGACACTATTGTCTTAGAAGCAGTGTAACATCCATAGCAAAGAAGATTCCCCATTTTCTTTTACAGTTAGTTTGATTCACTTTCTTAATTTCAAAAGTGGAAATTACCATCAGCATTTGAATATGAAAAAGGAATTATAAAATAAAAATAACAACTATGCTGGTTGGTCTCAATTTTCTATCCCACACTCACCATTAGTACATCCTTTTTTGTTCTCTTTGCTCTAAAAAAGTGGAAACTATTAAGTTTACCAGTTGGAGGCCACAGAACAGCAAAAAGCTGAGTGTTTTCCTCTCTATACCTCCCTATACCTCCACACTTTCTGCTCCAAGGTACATTTTCAAAAATATATCTCACACAGACACAATTATACACACACACACACACACACACACACACACACACACACACACTCACTTCTGTTAGGGTCCTGGAAGTTCCACAAAAGACCACCATTCACATATGCAATCAACAAGAGCGCTTATTATTCCAGCATGCTGGGGCTGACCATCCTACACAAAAGCAAGGTGGGGATGACCCTGAGAGAGCTCCCAGGCTCCTTTTAAGCACAGTCAAGGGGAGTTCCTAGGGCAGTTAGGCCATTTCAGATATGATTGGCTAACACAAGTGGCAATCATATTAGTATGTTCTAATTGGCTAGAGCTGGCAGGAGCTGGTTATAGCTACAGCTTTTCCATTTTGGGGCAGGCCTGGACAAGTCCTTGGCTTTGTCTTTATTTGGTTATTACCTTGAGCTGTGGTGGAGGCTGGCTGGCCTAGTATGCTCTGACTGTGGGAGCTGGCTCAGTGGCCCAGGCTTGGTATATGCTATCTCTACTGTCCCTGCTGTCAGGGGTGTTGAAGATTGATTGTCCTTTATTGCTTCCTCAGAAACTGCCTGCTCAGTTCCAAGAAGCAAGGGCCAAAGCCTACTTTTTAATTGAGTTATTAGGACAGGCTGTCATGATATTTGCCTGGCTCTCTCAACCTCCAAAGCAGCTGTCTATGTTGATATGCAAACAGACAGCAATCAATTTATGTAGATGAGTTTCCTAAGAATTCAAGGTAGTTAATCTACAGGACAAAGGCACCCTGGGTGGGAAGCAGCCTCATCTCTAGGAGAAGCCACTTGGAGAAAAGCATCTTTAGGTTCAGTTTTTTTTTTTTTTTGGGGGGGGGCACTTGGAATGCCACAGGATGGGAAACACCTAGATTTCCTATTGACTCAAAAGCAGTAAGAAACAGGGGTTTTCACACAGTGTGCTAAGAAGTCTCAGTTTTGAAAAATCTGTTCTGTTATAAATAAGTTTAAAGAGATAGCTGTCTGTGGTTATTCTTATGCACGGTTTCAGAGGAACAATAATAGAAGCTTTCTTAAAAAGTGACTATGAGGCCTAGACTTAACTGTACAGGCTCCATTTTAGGGAAAGGGCCACCATCTCAGACCACCTGCTGTACTCAGTTCCAGGAAGGACCTCAGGAATGAACCATGACAACTGGAACGGATCCAGAGCAGTATCCTCCTGCAGACATCCTGTCCGTGGTTTATGGCCCTTGAAGATATCTAGATAATCCTGCTGAGCAATCCACATAATCCTGTTCAGCAGGTTGTGGTTCCCTGCCAAAAGTCTAACCCAATGGTTTCAAATGTGATTTCATGCCCAAAGTCTAGACCAATAGTTTCGAAAAATCACCTTGCCCCATGTCCTTTCTGCCCAATCCCAATTTACCAATTCCTGGCTTGTGGTTTTCCCCTATAAAAATCCTCTACACCTGGGCTTGTGGCCGCTGCCACATTTCCTTCCATCTGCCATGCGGTGGCCCAGGTTGAACCTGAATAAAAGGACCCTTAGGTGCTCGAATAGGAAACTGGCTCCTAGGTGGTCCCTGGGGGTTTCGTGAACGGGGTACAACAGTGACAAAATAAGTTGTTCTTATAGACTTAGTGAAATAATTAAAGCACATTGTGGTGGCTAAAGTGAGTTCTTTGGAATAAAAAATTTTCAACAGGACCATCTGTAAGGATTCTGTTCTTAATTACGTCACCAGCCTGTGACGGCATCCCAGCCTAAAAAGCAGGTAGGCCCTCTGTGCATTCCCCCCTTCTCTTTCCGTTCTCTCTCCTTCTGTCTGTCCTCTCTGTCTCTCTGTCTCTGTCTCTCTGTGTCTCCCCCCCACACCCAATAAAGCTCTAAAAAGGTAACCATGGCTTGTGATTCTTCTGATCAGCACTCTCTTCTGCCGGCATGGCCACCGCAGGCGGCGGCCAGGCACGAGCAGCACCGCAGCATAACCAACACCATCATTTTCTTAGAGTACAGCCTCTTGGAATGGTTGGTCTCAGAAGAGCAAGTGTTGTTATTGCAATCAGATTCTGATGCCCATCCTGCTGTCATTGCAGCCCTGATAACATCTCAGAAACCGAGACCCAGGAAGTCTGTTTTTCTGGAAAGCCAGTTGACTTCAAAAAGTTTTCATCAATACAGTTAATATTTTGCTAACCCAATAAACTTTTGAGACTTAGGCTTCTCATTGTTTCTCTTTTGTTTTGCTTTTCCCCCCAGCTGTGTCAATAGACAAGATCAAAATAGGAACTGTCCAGTCTCTTTGAGTTTCATGAGGCATCCTGTGCCCTTCTGTGTTAACCTCCTAAAATACTATAAATTTTAAAGGACATAGGAAGTTTTTCTTTCTTTCCTTCCTTCCTTCCTTCTTTCTTTCTTTTTCTTCCTTTCTTCCTTTTTTTGAGAGAAGTTTTTGCCATCTAGAACAAGCTAGCCCCAAACTGACAATCTCCCAGCCCACCTCGGCTCCCTGTATTACAAATGTGCCCCGCAATGTCCAACTTCTTGTTTACTTTCATTGTAAATAGGAGTTGGTAATGGCAGTGTGACACAGCTCACCCTGAAATGTTTTCTCTTCTATTTCTAATCTACAGTTCCTTCATAGGTATTACCATGCTTCATTGCAGACTGCACATTTTCTTTTTGAGAATGACAAGTCCCTCCACAAGAGAGTACTCCTATTCTTCCCCAAACTACTCTTGAAGGAGACTACCAGTGCCGTTTATATTTTGGTCTTCACTTTCAGCTATAGACTTTGTTACAAGAATTGACAATTTGCTACTTGGGGAAGGAAACGACTCCGTGAGGTTGTAATACATCTTCTACCTTAAGGAAAGGATGGGTATGGAAGGAAGATTTAAAGTTAGACATACTGGCTGAATGTGTTGGCACATCTGTAATTACAAGACTTGAGAGGCTGAGGAAGATCTTACTTTTGAGGCCAGCCAGACTCACAGTTTAAGATCCAGAAAGCAAAATATCAAACAAACAAAACACAATCAGGAAAAGAAGAACTGGGGTTGCACGCAGGCAAGATTTTAAAAACCAGAATGTCCCTTTTTTCATTCAGTAGGACTCCTATCACAGTGCTCACATACATCCAACTAGAGGAGTTTGATGAGTAGTTGAGATAGACATAAAAAGAACAGCATGGGCACCAGAACTTCAAGATGAGGTTGAGGTGGGTGGGAGGTGTGAGAAGTACAGGCATGAGAACTGGAAATGGAGTGGAGAATATTATGGCACCAAGTTCCACTGGAAGCTTCAGGTGCAAGTTCCTCGAACAGTTTTCCTAAGGAAACCAGGAAGATGGGAGAAGTGGAACTAATCTACATAGTTAGGTGAGGAACAGTGCAACACTATGCTGTCAATTGCACTTACAGTGACTGACCCATCCACAGATGTCAAGACTTCCTACTCAGTCATGTGTATACTTCTCTAACCCACGTAGAAGCACCTTAGCAGGTAGTAATCATGTTTGGTCAATAAGGGATGCCTGAGCAGCTCTGTACTATGTCACCTAAGAAAACAAACTCTTTTCTCTGTGTTTTGTGTCTGTTCATTTCAGTTAACATTTATTACTGTTTACTTTTTATAATACATATTTTCCTATTAACCAATTCTTTCCTTTACATGTGTAAGAACTGGCTGTGTTTCTGGATCACTAGGCAATTCATAAGTCTCATTCATCTTACCTTGCTCTGAAAAAGTTCTGCAGTTACCGCTGTACAAACTACAATGAAATTTGTGATGGTAGCACATTTGTTTCATGTGAACAAGATAAAAATGAGAGAGAGAGTAGTCCTTTCACCTTAAAATTCCCTGTTGCCTTTCTTATGATTGGCAAGAACTTCTAGTTTCTTCACTAATGGAAGTCCCCAGGCTCTTCCTCCTGCTCCTTAACACAATTAGTGGTAACCTTTGGCACGTAGCAGTGAAATACATTTATTTATAGCCCATACATTATGCAAATAACTTTTCCTCATTTCCAGATGGCTCTCATACTGCTGTTCTTGCTATGCCACGTAAGCCTGTGTTCCCAAAGAGTGTAGCAAATATTTATTTCTTCAGTCATTAAGTCATTCAATGATGTGATATTTATGACACTATTTCTATGGCGGGGATATACTAGTAAGATATAATTCACACTATAAAGAAATCTACAACATGGTAATGAAACAGAATAGACAGGTCTATTCTGCAGTAACAACTTTAAATATCAAAACCCAGTTCAGTTCTCACTATGTCACTACAGATCTGTGTGGTTCGAAAATGGTTTGTGTCCCCCAGGGATGAATGGTGATTAAAGGCATGGTTCCTGGGTTTTTCCTACTGAGTGATGACAGATCCATGGAAACAGAACAGAGCCCAACAGCAGGTGTGAGACAGGCCAACAGGACAGAGCTCTGCCTAGGACTCTCTATAGTTCTGGTTATGTACATATACCCCTCAAGTTTTGATTTTGTTTTTTAAAAAAAGTCTCATTATTTAGCCCTGACTGGCCTAGAATGTACTATGTAGATAATATTAGACTCAAATTCATAGAGATTCCCCACCTCTCTCTCCCAAGAGCTGGGATTAAAGACGTGCCTCACCCCTCCCTCCTTATAAAAAACTACTTTGCAGTCTAATTCCTTCCTCTGCACTTGCAGTGAACATAAACACAACAATCCCAACACTGCACTGAGCAACCTTGGAACCCCCTCTGCTCTCTGTCAGCATATGTACTACTATCTCTGAACAATACTGTAAGTTTCCTCACCCCTAGCAACTATACAATTGAGGTAGTTTATATTCAAGCGTATCCCTAATGTATCCAGGGATGAAGAATAGAAGGACTATCCAGATCCAACCGGAACTGGCTTGGGATGTATGTGCAGTAGGGTAAGATTGTGCGTCTCTGAAATTTTTAGGGAGAATTCCCTATTTGTAACTTTATGCTTATGCATAAATTGCACCAGCATAAGAGTACAATCAGATGTATCATGGGAAGGAATTTGTGTAGTGGGAAAATGACAATATGACCAAATTTATCAATGAAATTAGATAACCACCCGAAACACCCTCTTCAGTTCCTAGCCCCTCCTTCTGTTAGGCCCCATAAAAAGCAACTACAGGCTGTAGGGTGTGAGAGTCTCCCTTTGCCCAGCTGTCAGTTTTGACAGAGCTAATCTGTAGTATTATTAGGCTCCAAATAACATTATCTAGCTTCTTTTTTTGAAAAATTTTGCGACTTTTTTATTATTTTCATAAGAAACCAAGAACACGTGACTCAGGCCTCAGGCATCCATAATCAGCCAAGGTGATAAGGAGGTCTACTTTCAGAACAAGAACCAGGAAACCAGTCTCTCCCTTTCTCTACTCTTTTCCAAGATGTCACTTATACAGGGTCCTACCATGATGTGCACCCATTTCCTGCCCTCACCACCATCCAAACAAATGATCCTTGCTTGATTGCCTGACTTTGGACATGAGCATTCCAAACTGTGAGCTAATAAAACTCTATTCAAAGTATACTTCATAAGTGCTTCATTTCAGCAACGCAAAGCTGCCCAATCTGTAATCTTTTAGAGGCTGAAGGAAACTGCTGCTCCATTTAGCACATGCTTTCACAGTTACCAGGTAAGAACTTGAAATGTAGGTACCTACACCCTGGCTCTTAAAGTGTCTATCTATAAGCAATTCAAGTAACTTATTTTATACTTTACTGGTCAAAGAAGTTGTACATGCATATCGAACATATGAGAAAAATGGAGCAGGGCTTTCTCACAAGAATAAACTTTGGGTCATATATTAATATCATATTGTTTTGACTGTCCATCTTTTATTTGCACTCTTCAGCTGACAGTGATATGCATTCAGCTTAAATGACTAACTTTTCAACTACCTAATGACTATGCCAAGAGGCAATAGGTTCCCTGTTTGTCCTTTACCATTTTCAAAACCTAGAAAACACTGAGACCGTGTATTTTTGTCTCATTTTTTTTGTTTTAGTATTTAGTCACTGACAAATTATAAATGGCAATGCTGTGACATATGCTTGCACCTCTGCAGTCTTGAATGAGCATCAGTTCAGTGTCTTCTTCACCCTCCCCCTGGAGATCCATCTACTCTGAATTGATACATGTATGCAGAAGCTCGGTGCACTACAAAATTTCTGTCTCTACACTCTGTTGTCAAATGCAATCCAGTTTCAGTTCTTGTCTGAACAAGCATAAAGATAAACTGAACATGGGGAGCAAAGTGTTTTTAACCTTAGCAATATGGCAGGAGGTCACTTTAAAGCTAGCATAAAGGAAAGAAAAGTAATTTTAATGAATTATTATCAGACAATTCTGCTTAGGAGAAAGGCAACCAACAGTGGCAGTCTGTTTAAAAGTGTGGCACAGCAAAAAGGAATCTAATTGGGCCATGATGTATGTGAGTTACCCATTTCTTCCTATTGCCTCATTATTTTAAGCAGCAGTATAGGAAATGAGGAAAATGGATTACTTAGGTAGGCAAACCATTCACTAACAACACATTCTTTAAGCCTCAGATTTCCCATCTTTATAATAACAATCATAATAGCAAATTCATGAAACTATAGTGAGGATGATTGTAAAACAGGGAACACGGGGCTTACCTGTAACAACTAGACTTTCAGTATTCATAAACTAAAGAATGGTTTAGCAAGCAATATTTTCAGAAAAAAAATTGCAAGGAGTGGGTAAGTTCAAACAACTGCTTCACTCTTTATTTTTCAGCCAGTGTGTCAGGAATGTGAACATGAACACTGAAAAGAACAAGTTAGGGCAATCTGCTAGCCTCAAAACCACTGTCCATGCAAATGTATACCAGGCTGATGCAGCACAGCCTTTAAGATGAGCCTGGCTCACTTAACTAGTAAGGCAGCAGTGTATACATGCTCTGCTGCTCCTGTCAGATTTTTTTTTCTTTCTTTTCTAAAATTGAGAAGCATGGTCTTATGAAGCCTAAGCTGGCCTCTAGCTGAGTATGAAGATGAGGATGCCCTTGAACTTCTGTTTCTCTTGCCTTGACATTCCAAGTGAAAGGATCACTGGCTTTTATGCCACTCCACCCTGTTCACATGGTGCTGGGGTGTGAAGTCCAGGCTTTGTGAATGCTACACGAGAATTTTACCAATTGTACCCTTTATATGCTCCTGCCAGATTTTACCCTGAATGGAAACTAACTTTTCAGATCTTTTGCAAATCTCATTCTCTTTAATGAACAAGCAGGTAGAATTATTTGTTATGTATGGTCAAAACACATTATTGTCTATGCTTTTATCCCAACGCCAACATACTCATTACAGTCCACTAATAACCAT